CCAAACAGTGACTGTCATAATCATACTAGTTAAATATAGCAACGTGTTTTTATGCTTCTCTGACACTGTTCTTTCTTGCCATCAGTCATCCTTTTTTTACCTACCAAGTTTGAAGGAGTGGCTACTGTTTTGAATTCACTAGGCTCAGAATTGAAACCTCCCACTTCTGCAGCAGATACGTTTGTGTGTGCTCACATAGTAATGGATATATAACTGAGTCTTTGGCACATGTAGAATGAGAAGTGGTGATAATATGTATGTATAATATCGCTTTGAGGAACTGTAATGAGATATCTTGCAGTAAGGTGTCCTGTGTTCTGCCTGCTCCTCTTGAACTGTGTGTACTCCTTCCAGCTATTGCTCACCCCACATTCCAGCCCCACTTCTTGGGACAATGGAAACTTGGGAGGTTTGGATACATTTGCTTCACTTGTACATTTGCATTTGATCATTTAATTATCTCATCGCAGTCTTCTTGTTTAACCTTTCTCTCCCAGACACACTGCACCTTGTATCCCATATTGATGAGCCCTGACAGAGGGCTCATCAATATGATAACTCCAAATGTGGTCTATTACCTTTTCCAGCTTTGGAAACTCTACCCCCCAAAAAAATCACACAGATCCAAATGCAGAATCAGCATTACTGATTCTTAACCAAGGAAATATATAAGTCCTTTTACTAGATGCCATCACAGCCTAGTGGTGCCAGAAGAAAGGGATTTATATATTTACAAGCATGGGCCCCCATAACTTATGGAGGATTTTTTTTTTTTTTTTGGCCAGGATACTCCTTATGTGTCAGATCTTGCTTATTTAGTATCATTGCCATTGTTCAGCACTCCATAAAACAGCAATTTGAGTGAATTCTAAGCTGTACTGGGCTCACAAAAGGTGAATATGGTTTCCCTCAAGGCACTTGAAGGCGGAGATACGAGCTGTTTTGGAAAATTTAAAGGCTATCAATACAGTGAAAGGTCTGTTGGTTGAGGTGGTTTTTTTTCTTTCATATTTTTTGTTATGTGACTGTGTCTGTTCCCTGCTCCTCCTTTTTTATCAGTGACCAGTTTATCACGTGTCCCATCATAAACATGGCCAGTCACTGGGCTGCTGCCTCCAGAGGAAATGTCTTTGTGTACCATGTACCTGAGAGCTCCTCACAGAGCAGGTAAGGAGATGTATTTTATTATGTTTCTTGGCTTTAGAGTTTGCAAAAAAAGTGCTGTCTGTCTGGGCACCCTGTGGAGTAAATGGATAGATGTAGGCATGAAGAGTTCAGATTAGCAAAGAAGGAATTGAGTGTTAATAGATTGTTTCTCTCTGTTGGCTAAATAGGAACTGTCTAAATTAAGTTTCTGTTTTCCAACTTACCTACCTTTAGGCCAGTTCCAGGTAGCCTTTTAGATTTCTACTATCTGATACGTTTCCCACAAAGAACCAGAATGTGGTCTAAGTCGTTTTCTAAGCACTCAGCATTAATTTAACACTGCCCCCTCTTGAAGTCAGTGAAGTTGTACCACATTTATTCCTTCCTGCCCCAGCACCATGACTTGTGATCAGCTGGCAGACTGTCTCATGGAAGGAAAAGTATTTTTTAAGACAAGCATTTGCAGACATAGGCTGTCATCCTTCAGTTTACAACCTTGCTTGAGAAATTTTCATCAGGAGGAGCTGTATCATAGTTTAAACAGAAAGGTCTATACACCTGCAGGAGATGCAAATGCCTTGTTCCCTTGGGCACAGGACAGACTGGTAGTCAGAGGCTGTTAAGGTGACTTTCCCTGGTTTTATTTTAGACCCAGTCCTTTTCAGAAGTCAGGATGAGACACTGAGGTTTGCAGGCAGTGGTCGGCACATTGGGCTGCTATGAGACACACCGTGGTAGCTCCTGGTCCCTTGCTCTCAAAGCCAGATCAGAAACTGCAGTGATAGCAGCCCCTCCTGTCCCCTAGATCCACACATTAGGGCAGCAAAGCACATAGCAGTGCTTCATCTTCTAGCTGTTTCCTTGTGAGGGAGTGATGCTTGTCCCCTGCTCCCTGTACAGCCCCATACCTCCCTCCAAGAAAGGTTTTTGAGACCCTTTCCTTTCTCTCAGGCTTTCTCTGAAAGGACCCAGCAAGTCCTGCAAACTATGTGGGTTTTCTCCTTTCCTGATAGCACAGTGAAAAAGCATTTGAAAGAAACCAGCCAAGATCTAGGTTACAGATGAAGGCCATTATGCTGCAATAACACAGGCTCGCTTTCTTTTTAGCTGAGAAGAAGTTAATCCTTGGGGAGCTGTTATTTCGCTGGCAGCTCCAGCGGGAATGTTCACAGTACTCTGTTTGGCTACTGATAGGCTCAGATAAGTAACTTTTACAAGGCTCCAAATAGGGCTGAGCTAGGGTATGCCAAAAATCTAGCCACACAGAAAGAAAAGATGTGTTCTTACATTAGCTAGCAAGTTTTCTCTTGCTTTGGAGAATGATAGTGACCCAGTTACCTACGATGAGATCTTATTTGAAAGTAGATGAAAAAATACTTACACAACTTAGAGTTACTGCCTTTGAGGCAGTGATTTTGAATTGATGAGAATCTCCTCTTCTATCTTGCCCTATTTGAGATTTCTCTTGTTCTCATGTTATTTAGCTCTCCTCACACTCTCCAGTGCAGTAGTAGTTTACATAGCACTTAGCTACGCATTTCAATAATATTTATGTTGTCAGTGGTCTTCTAAGTTAATTACTTTAAATTTTGGTGCAAAACTTATTATTTCACTTTCTCATAACCCTCTTTAAAAACAAAGTCAGTATGCTCTTTGAAACTTGTGAGGCAGAGGCTCGAATGCCTCCAGCTAAGGCACTTGCAAGGAGAAACAGGCTCAAATTAGTATGCTGCGTTTACATTCTTACTCCTTTTGTATTTATTTTTGCTTAAGTACCATTAAAATAAATGTTGTTTAGGTTGCAAAGGCAAGCACTTAAACAGAAATTGCAGAATTCAGCTTGCCAGTGTACTGAAGGATCTCATCTGATGCTACAATATGTCTACATATGAAGTGATACCCTTGTTTTCCCAAGGGACTCCACACTAGGTCCTTTGCTGAATATACTGCGAGTTTTTTGTTTAAACATTGTTGTCATTCATTCCTAAATTATTCCTTCCTCATTCTTCATCCCATTTTTGCCATGTGGTCTCCCTCCGTCCTCCTCCCTACTGCATTCCCCCCTCCATATAGTATGAGCACGTTGCAGACTGTCCAGCAGCCAATAATGTGATGATGTCAAGGGCAGGAGCTTCACATGGGAGAGTGGCCTTAACTGCTAAAAACTGTGAGAAACCATCAGTAAACTTAAACCAACATAACACAGTGTTTGTGAATGTTATTGGCAATTCGCCCTACCGGATTAAAACCAATGATGTACATGAAAAAGCCTTCAAGTAAAATACATACATTAATCTTGGGGAAAGATGTCAACCATATAATCAGCTCCCAAGGCACTTCCCTAATCACTGGGGTAATGAGTCCTGACAGTTCTCAAGTTCTCGTCTAAAAACTGTGACTCTCCCTAGGAGGAGGAGCAGAGGCAGATAATCTATCAAGTAACCTACAGCTTAGACTGGAGGTCAGGACATGTGGGTTTGAACTTGCTCAATAGAAGTGAGAACTGCATCTGGGACCCTGCAAACACTCTAGGTATTAAATTCCTGAACAGAAGAACCCTCTTACAGCCATTTTTTGTGATAATGAATGCAATAACCAGCAGTAAGTTTTACAATTAGTAGGCATGTATGGGATATTCTGTGAGTACACATGCTGGATCAGATCCTCCTCAGTTTAGAGCTGGAGGAACACCTCATTACATATTCCCAATCACTCATAGGCATTTGACAAAACAATAATTTCTCAGCCTGTTTGATACTGAATTACATCTGGGTTTGCTGAGATACAGACCTCTGTTCATAAAAATGTATTATTTCCACAGGGTAACATAAGAGATAAAATAATGATTTTTTTAGTCTTAGTGTCTAAATTCTTCAGTTTACAGAGGATATGATCCTTTTCCTCTATGTGTTTGTTATCTATATCATAAAGATGATGATATTGATAATATATTATCTATAATAACCACTAATGGCTGCCTCACAGTGGTATTGGAAAAGTACATTAAAATAATGCTGTTTTCAGATAACTGCAACAATGGAAGAGTGTCTAGTCTTAGATAAACTATTCTGGCTGGGGAAATTACCATTCACTAATTAAGATAAGGCACCGTATAGCAGCACATTCTCCAATTTCTACTCCATCACCTCTCTCCTACTTTATGCATGTCTCCCAAAACGTGTAACAGAACAGAGAGTTAAAATGCAGAGATGAAAAAGTGCTGGTATTTCCTCTTGTTTCACATGGAGCAGTCCCTTAATAACTCACAGCAAGATAAACAAGGAGGAAGAAGGCAGCCAGTAAAGACAGACCCAACTACAATGACACAAAGTAGACAAAAAGTTATTAAACAGGGAGGATTTTTTACCAGTACAAGTAAATTAGCAAAAGTTTGTGTCACAACTGGCTGTTTCTAAAATGTATACATGTACACATGTACACACTGAAGCATGCATAGATGCAGAGGCAGGATTAAAAAGGCCACGATAAACTGATGTCTATGACATATGTGGAAAATCACATAAAACCATGAACTGACAATTTTCATTTAGATGAATGGATCTTGCAGAGACCAAACTAATATCTCCTTCCACATGGTAGCATTCTCCCCAGCTTGGCGTGCCACCACGTCTGCTTTAGTCTTCAGTTCCTATTTGGATAAGAAGCAGGATGCACAGCCAACTCCCACATTAATGATCTGTGGTAAAAATATATACATAACCCAGGTGCCATTTTCTCACTCTCTTTTTGAGAACACTTAGGCCTTGGAGTAAACATTTATTCTAAACAATGTGGGAGGAATGTGACTGCTCAGCATTGCCTAGGATTAGTGAGGACGAATGGAGTATAGCTTTAGTTAAAGAAATATGTGATAGGAGAAGTATGTTTTGACAAGGATAATATTATTAACTGTGCAAAGATTTGCCTTGTTAACCCTTCAGAAGGTTTCTGGGTGATTTTTGCATATTATATAAAGTAGTACTGCTTGCCATGTCAGCATAGTTTCCAAGTCACGCTGTGGTGCCAAATGTGCTGTCCTAAAGACGGTGGATAAAAATCAGTTCTCTGCTCACTGAGGAGGCCAGATCATCAGCTGCAGCAGGATGGCAAAGCATCATTATTGTCACCAAACTGAGACTTAATGAGGCTCTATCTTATAGCCATTAGCATCATCATCATAATTGCCACAAAAGCTTTTGTTAACTGTTGTGCACTGGACAGATTCATCCAAGATTAATGAGCTGCTGTCTGTTTTGAGACATTTTGGTTGGGGCTGTCTTTACCTCCTGACTATGCACTCTTGTGTATGTTGGTGTCAGTTGTTAAAAGACTGCTCCATGCCAATGCTCACATATTGGCTTGATTTTGCTGACACTTTTTATGATTCCTGTAACTGAAGGTAAGAACTCCTGACTGATAAAAAGAAAAAAAAGGAAAAAATGTTTGTGTATAAACCCATTCAACTATGCGAAGTATTTTCATTTTCTGTTTATTATATACACTGGCTTTTCTTGAAATCCCTTTCATTAAAGGAGATTTTTCTACCCTTTTGATTTTGTATTAATCATATCACTGTCCTTTAATCTGTCCACCACGTGTTGTCCACTCAAGGCTCTCCTCCCTCTCTGTAGCTGTTAGTCCATGACTACCAACACAACATAGCTTGAGAGGCCACCATGTGAACTGGATGCTGTGGTGACAGACAGAAAGTTATGTCTCTGGGCTTCGAAGAAACTCATCCAGACACAGAGGGCAGATAAGGCACCAGAGAGGTGGTAACAAGAACAAGAAGATGCACATTGCCTCCCCGGCTGGGTAGACACCACACTCACCTTGAGTAGCTCCGTACACTTGATGCAACAATTTGTCATTTTTATCTAAAAAGCTGTACTCTCAGTCATCTTCTAAAAATTGTTCTTTCGCTCTTCTTATTGGAATTGCCTCTTGTCCCCCTGGCCTTATCCATTGTGTGATGCCAGCTGCAGCTATGAAGACACTCCCACTGATTCAACCACATCATG